TCAATAATTATAAAAGAATGAGCATTATGTAATATTAAGTATAAAATCACACAATATTTTTTAGGCTCTACAGTATATTATTCTAAAACAATTTTTAACCAAGTCTGTTCAGTGATTGGACCACCTAATCCGTAAGACTGACCCCCAAGTGAATACATACAAATTGCAAAAAGAAACAGAGCACACAGCCTCTGATACACAGCTGTGATTTGTTTTTCAAGTAGTTCTAATCTTGACCAAACCTGAGGAAGCTCTGGTCTACTTCTTTTGTAAAGCAAAGACAATTCCATCCCATAGTTCAGATGCACTCTATTACATAAAAATATACCTATATATTAGGAGGTGGGTCGCTGGGAGGTGATTAGGTCATGAAGATGGAGCCCTCGTCAGTGGGATTAGCACCCTTATAAAAGGGACCCCTGAGAGCTCTCTCACCCTCCTTCTGCATTTTGAGGGGACAATGGGAAGAAGGCAGTCTGCAACCCACAAAAGGGCCCTCACCAGAACCCAACTATGTTGGCACCCTGGTCTTGGACTTTGAGCCTCCATATCTGTGAGGAATAAATTTCTGTTGTTTATAGGCCAAAATATATATATATATATATTTACACACACATGCACACACACGCACCTATAAAAACCACAAAGTTTATCTGTTTCCCTTATTATATTTCTTTTTGATTTACATATTTATTTTTAATAGAGGTTGTCTAGGCATAATGGGTATTGTTTTCATTGGTGGGGTTTTAGAGATGGTGAGGGGGAGTGGAAGAATTGGGAAAGTATGTATTACAGGAAAAAATAGAACAGTGCATTTCTTTACTATAAATCAAAAAATCAAATAAAAAAATTTACAAAAATAAGTCTTATTTACAAAAATAAGCCTGCTCTAATGGTCTATTAAAAAAAAAAATCAGCTTTCCCCTTAAAACTTAGTTTGGATCAAGACTGTGCATTATGTATTCTTAACATACAGTTTCAGTTATTGCTGTTTTTAACTGTCCTAGGCCCAAATATTCCTTAAAAAAGAAAATTTTGGTATAGATAAAAGCTAAACTAGATGGACAAATAAAGATTCTAATAAATTATACCATCATAAGATTCAGTTTTATCCTGTCTTTTTTTTTTTTTAACAGATTTTTTTTTCCTAATTCCTTCCCAGCTCAAATAAAGCTTACTCTTCTCTTTTGCCAGGGCATATAAAAGTGCTTCATAACTATAAATGTTGCAAAACTGACACTGGAAAATATTCTCCAGAGAAATATTAAAAGCATCATCTTATCCACCTTAAAAAGGTACAAGAAAAAAGCAGACAGAATTGACCATATTAGTTGTCAAATCTTCACTCTCAATACTACCAATAAATCAAATAAATGTCATCACTCGGATTAATAATAAAATCTTGTAGGTGTAGTTGAAGGCAGCATAGACTTACAACATTATCTCCTTAGTAAGTAGAAGACCTTACACAAATGAGGACAGGATGTATTTAAAATCTTTCACTTTGGTCTTCATAGGAGCAGAGCAACTTTTATCAAGGCACAAAATATAAACAAATAGACCTTTGAAGGAAATGACAGAACCCTTGCCACTGGCAGCATGTGACCTTTTGGAAGGATAAAGGCAGATTTCTCCCTGATCTTAAAAAAAAAGTACACCTTTAAAAACTAAAAAGGAATACAAAAATCTTTTCATTTTAGTGAAAATAACTATCTAACTTCTTTTACAAATAATAAGATTTCTACCTAATTTTTTTTCAATACTTATCACATATGGGTCTTAAAATTATACCTAAACATTCTGTGTGTGAGAGAGAGAGAGAATGAGTCATTTCTCAACCTGTCTGATATAGAGCCACTATAAGATATCAACTTTTCTGTGTCACCCAGTACAGCTTTATATATTAATTTTCTCTTGTGGAAAGCTTAAATGCCAGACACATTTTTAAAAAGGACAAACACAATTGATCTTTTCATCACTACAATCTTCTGAAATAGAGTTGATTGATGACTCCTAGGAACAATAAAAAAAGTTGGATGTCCTGGTTTTCTTCAAATTCTAGTGTTTCCCCAGTGATCACTAAGTAAATGATTAATATGCTGAACTTGCTTATTCTACTTATTTCTCAAAATCCACAATCTAGAACTAAAAAATAAAAATAAAACAGCCATGTTTTGTGCCAATAAAATTAGTGAATAATTATAGATCACTAGCCTATAAAGGCTCTATAAATACAGGCATAACCTTTAAAAATTCTTAAAATACATAAGTCAAAAAACTTCAGCCAAAACAAACAAATAATTAAAAGTATCCATATGTGGGTTTCTGTGTCAGAAGGTAGGGACAGGGGTGTGGGTCAGAGATAAGAACTACAAAAAAAAATTCAAAGTTGAAAGCAAAAGACTTTCCCAGTTGAACTTGGGCTAGTGGAAGGATTCACTCATTTCTGTGTAGGATGTTACGAAAACATTATGGTATTTTGAGGCTGCCAAATCTTATTTGTAATATTTCTTTATTATAAAAGTCTGTATTTCAATCAAATTTGGACGAAAATAGTGACATAAAATTATATCTAGGCTTTTGGAAAACTAGTAAATAAATTCTTTGAGGCTTTCCTAAAAGCATCATACATGTATTTTTAGATGCAACTAGCACTTCTTTACACTGAAAACATTCAGAGTTCATTTCACAAAGCATCTCCTGATCACAATAACATTTAACAAGGCACATACCTTAGCCTTCAACTTGAGAGTGATTAGATGCTCTCTACCAGAAGCATCTTCTGCTTTTAACTTGATGGTACTGAAGCAAGTATCCACGTATACAAGTCTGGTGAGCAGAATAGAATAAAAAATGATCACATTGGGGAAGGTAGGGGAGGAGAGCTGGAGATGGTAGGATTCAAAATGAAAATATTTGCTATATTCCTATTAATCCATTATAAAAATTTATCAGGAATTTCTGCATGCCAGCCCTTTCTGCTGCTATAGATTTACTGCCGTTAATACACCAGCCTAGCTCTTAATGCAGTCATAGATCTCTGGATTATTTACAATGTGTGTCAAGGCTCATGCTGTGGTCAGTGAGCACTATGTTTCAGTTTTCCATCACTGGAACCTTTGGCACACACAGCATGTTCCTGTCAGCCTCTACTTATGTACACATTAAACTTCCTGTCAAACTCTTTGATCCATTTCTGTAGTTTCATACAGTATGAGACTTTTATGCTTCCTTTGTTTTTCTCCTTGATGAACTTCTCCTGTATTATCAATAATGTTACTGTACAAAAACCTAGCTGATATTAGTTCATATACTCAAATTGATCCTCTAAGGAAAATGCTGTATAAGCACAGGTACAGCCCAGTCTCCTAACAATAAATTTTCTTTTTGTGAGACACATAGCTCCTGACACTTAACATAGGCATGTATTCAAGATGACTAATATTCTAAACATATGGCATAAGCACAATTGTTTTGGCTTTAAGTTGCTCCAAATGCATGAGTTTTCTACAATGGAAACCAATACCCTTTGAAATATATCATTCTACAAAAACATGGTCCCTTGAGTAGCATAAGCTACTGCCAAAAAGGTTCAAATTTAGCAGTATATTTACTAGTGAACTGGGCATGTGGATATTTTTTTTGACATTTTTACAATACAATTCTCTTGCAAAGATAAAAAGTAGTCTAAAAGCATTGTACAACTTATCATCTAGACTAATGGTAAGAGCCATTAGAGTTCAGAACTAACATTAGCCTACTAACTTAGGAAATAATTTTTTTAACATTACTATATGCCATTTAGTTACTGACCAGGTACTGTATAAAGGTAAAATGAGTCAATTGCAAGAAATGCTGGGCAATGATGTTGTGGAACACTGTAATGAAAACAGATCTAAATCTGAAGAAGATATCTATCTTTAATAATGAAATGAGAAGTAAAACAACCTGTATTAATACATGGAAATTTTATCATAATCTGTAAAAAGTCTAAGATCTTAGAAAATAAATCAAAGTAAATTATTCTGGAAAACGTGTTTATTTACATAAAAATAGCAGTTTTTTCAGTTATATCTGTAAACATCTCAAATACCCCACCTCCAAAAAATTAGAACTTTGAGTCTTTATCACATGTTTTGTCGTATGACTCTAAGGTTCAGGTATATAGGTAACTGACTGCAAATTTCCACACTTCAGATTCAAGATGCTGAGATGAGCACGTGCATTTATATCCTCTCTCTAGTCCCTAAAAAATTAATTATTTAAAAATAAAGTAATTTTAAAAAGGTATAAAGCCACCATTAAAAAAAGAACAAGAAGGAATAGCATTAACAAAAGCAAATTTTCAACAACTTTTATAAAATGTAAAGCAATTAAAAGAGCACTGGTTGACAAAACAGCTTAGGAGAGAAAGAGAAAGAGGGCTCCAGGAGGACACAGCTGGCAAAAGGGCAAAGTCTACAGAATAGAGAGTATGACTGATACACTGGAAGAAATTACGGAAATTTTTTTTTAATACGAGAAACCAAAAAGGGAAGAGAAAATTTTAAACTGAATTATAAACAATACAGCTGTGGTAAAAAATTGTAATTACTCTACCATTAACTTTTCAGTTAAAAAATATTTATGTAGTCAAAAAATTAAACTGATTAGTAATTACAATTTTTAGAATCCAGCAATACACAAAGCTAAAAGACTTAATTATAGTTATAGAGGCTAATGTAAATATATTTGACCACTGTAATTTAAAAGGAAAGGATGACAAAAATTGGGAAGTAGAAATAAGAAATATCTGGAGGGAAGATTAGGAACAATAAAATCTGTAATTGCTAATTTGAGAGTCGAGAGATACCATCTTTAACTGAATGGAAATAAAAGAACTTTAAGAAATAGTAAAGCTAATGGAAAAATTTTGAAAAATGAAGGAAAAGAGAAAGTAGCATACGAGCTAAATTCTTTTTTTTTATTATAGTAGTAATTCCTCAAATTGAAAAATCAAGAAATATTGAATGTAGAAATACCATTTACAAGTGTGGAAGTTGTAAACAGGAACATTTCCAAGTATTTGTCTCAAAGACAAGACTGGGGATAGGAAATGGTGTGGGAAAAGGCTGTTTGCTTTTCATTATAAGCTCTAAACAGTTCATAACCAAGATGAATACATGCAGAGAGAGAAAGGAGAGCAGGCCTGCATGTGCATGGAGAGGGGGAGAAAAAACAACTAAATCACCAACGAGTACTTTCTATACTTCACACTGCTGCTCATCATCACAATGTTCAAAATCATTATTAAACATCTATAAAATAACACAGAAATAAGAGCTCTAGTCTTTTGTTTGTAATCACACAAGATTATCACCATTCCACAGTTTAAGACATAGAGGTAATACATTACAGAAAAGAGTGTCATGCTCAAAAATATGGCCTTTAAGTCAAGATGACTATGAGGTTAATTTTGTTAGACTTTAAGAAGTAATTTAGCCAGGCACCGTGGCTCACTCCTGTAATTCTAGCACCCTGGGAGGCCAAGGTGGGAGGACTGCTTGAGTTCAGGAGTTCAAGACCAGCCTGGGCAAGAGACCTCATCTCTACTAAAAACAGAAAAAATTAGCTGGTCATCGTGGCATGTGCCTGGAGTCCCAGCTACTCAGGAGGCTGAGACGATCACTTGAGCCCAGGAGTTTGAGGTTGCAGTGAGCTGTGATGATGCCACTACCCTCTACCCAAGGTGACAGAGTGACACGCTGTCTCAAAAAAAAAAAAAGTAATTTAAATAAAGTAGTAAAAAACATTCACAATTTCAGGTTAATCTCACCAGCAAAGCCATTTAAAAATAAGAAACATTTTACCCATGTTCATTTCCTGGCTACTTTGTTTTGGGGAAGAGGGGATAGAAAAAAGCCTTACTGTGATTAGCACCTTGAGTACATATGACCTAGACTGTCAATTGTTCTTTAGTGTCCATTCTCACCTTCTTCCTTTTGGTAATAGGATCCCTGCCCCTCAACTCCCAACTAAACCAAGTTTCAGCAGGATCCAGTTCACCCAGCCAGTGACTCTTGGGAGGTGTTTGCATATAACTAATTTTGGCCAGTGGGCTGCAAGCAGAAGTGATATGTGCATCTTTTGGATCATTTATAACAAAAATGTTTTTTCTCCTCCTCCTCCTCTCATCTTCTCATCTTCCCTTCCCTATTCTCCAAGAATAGAACTTGGACAGGCCACTATGAGCCAGCAAAGACCATGAAAACAGGAATACACTCTAGTGCAGCACTGACCAACAGAACTTTCTGTGATGATGGAGGTATTCTATGTCTGGACTGTCCAAAATAGTAGTGACTAGCCATATGTGTCTATGGAGGACTTAATATGTGGATAGTATGGACGGTGAATTTTTTATTTAAATATAAATGTCATAGCCACATGTGGCTAGTGGCACTGTACTGAACGCAACCACGGTGGATAGTTGAGATACAAGTTCCTGAATGACCTTGTGGAACAGAGCCACCAACCCACTCTTGAGCATCTGCCTATCTCTGACCTGTTAAATGAGAGATGAATACAATTCCACCTTGTCTGAATTGAGGACCTGTGGTTCTCTTTGTTAATAGCAGCTTAGCCTCTGACCTAATGGAACATATTTATATCTATTCATGATATGAAAAAATATCTTGGTTTGGTCTATAGAAGGGATATTAAAGGAAAAAACAGATGATAAGCTCTTACAAGTGGTATCAGATCAGTTTTACTAAGAAAGTCTATTATAAATATTAAGTAGATGGACATCTCAATTTGGACAATAGGGAATAATAGTTTTTATTTATTTAAACATAAAAAAATCATTTAAATAGTAAGTTTAGGAAACTTTTGTCACTGGAAAGCTCATACTTTTTAAGAAGTTATTATACATAAAATGCTAGCCAAAGCCAAAGAAATCACATTTAAAATTTATATTGAGAAGGAATTTAGGTATTATCACTTAGCTAGGTATATTCTAAATTTGACTAAGAAAATATAAAAACATAAGTATAAAATCTAAAGAAAAAATATTTTACTTATGACATTTCACTTTGTATTTATCACTTGCTACATTTCTTCACAAGTCTGCTTGCAATAACTAAAAGGCACTAAACTTGAGAGTTAAAAGTTTTTTAAACATTTGAAAGGGATGTTAATACTTAAGCTTCAGGGAGGTTTTTGTTATTGTCCCTGTTAATAGCTGAATGGTATCAGTACAGTGAAGCAGAAGAAATGTGCTTTATATCTCTTAAAATACTGTACTTATTTTGACCAACAGCTTAAGTTACTTAGCTTTTCTTTTATTTACCCATCTTGACGCATTTAAGTATTAATAGTAATAACATCAAAAGGCAGACTGCATCAAAAGACAGGCTGAAGACCATGTTTTAATAAAGCATCAAAGTTTTCATTTTTATTGCCACTCTCAAGTTTAAGCATTAACTACTTCATATCAAATTACTAAGAACAATCTCCCTAATGAGTGTCTTTAATTCCTGCCTCTTCTGTACACCAATCCATCCTGCCTTTTGTACCTAGATTAATCTTCCTAAATACTTTTTTAATCATATCAACCCCTTGCTCAAAAATATTCAGAGTCCCCTTCACCTGCATATAGAGAATCATTAGTCTAGAAGTCAAGACCCTTCAGTCTAGCCCTAATATATTAATCCCCTTATGTGAGCAACTGCTCGATTCCAAAATCCAAAAATACACTGCACATACCCACCTCTACAACCTTGCCTCCATCATTCCCCCCCTTTAAGGGTCTCTATATTCCTTTCAAGTTTATCCCAACATCCACCTCCTCT